CAGGTAGCCAATAGCTTCTCCGATCGGCTGCTCGTCCTCCCCGTCGTTCAGTCGGTTCAGACCCATGTAGGACAGCTGTCAGAGAAGAGGGGAAAAGATCTCCACATGACTACTGCAACGTTTTCAGTCTTGGTACTCACATTACTAACATATTGACCTTCTATGGCTGCCATGAACTAAAGATTTATTCAGTCGATTAGTCGACTACTCGTAGCACGTATATAATGTTATGATTATAAATATTATTTATTTTTCTCCCAAAATGGTTTCAGTTAATTGACTTAATGACCAGGCAAAGAGTAAAGAGTGAGGGGCTAACTCATCAAGGCACACACACAGCGCACAGATGGAGTTTTCTTTTCTTTTTTTACTTCAACTAATAGACTAATGAAAACATTTTTATGTTAGCCGAGTAACGTTTAGTCGACTATTTGGGGGCAGCCCTATGACTTTCTACATTTTTTACAGTTGTTTTTTTTCATGTTGATTTCTATGTCCTCCTTCTTTTCTTGAATCTTTCTTTTGCTAAGTCTCTGTTTGTTGTACAGTAAAACCATTTCAATCAATGATGTTGTGTTTTAAAATAAACGTCCTGTCTTGTTTCAGACAAAGACACGTTCAGATTTACTTTAAAGTGAGATTTTTCTATAACACAAGTGTCCTAGTTAGAGCAGAGCGTCGCATAACATTGACACATCAAGATTTGAAACATACCACCCGTGAATGTTGTTATAACAATGTAGCTGCAATGTTATCTTTCTGTTTATGTCACATGGTCTTATATATGTATTTGACTGTGGTTTATTGAAAGATCTGAAAACAAACCTACTTCTCAGTTTTATAGATATTATAAGAGCAATGATGTACGTTTTTTATAACCAAAGAAAGAAACTATCAACAATGTATGAAGGTAACAGCTTTTCCTCAGCTGCCATTGTGATCACTGAACCTACTGAACTGAACTTTGGCAGTAATAACGTGTATAAATAATAAACTTACAAGGTGTTCAGTGAAAGCAGTGGGATCAAAAGCAGCGCCCTCCGCGGCAAGTTGGCTGGCTTTCTCCTTGCCGAGGTCTGAGGTCACAACGAGGAGCTGGGCATCCAGAGCAGCTTCTCTCGACTGCCGCACTGCCAGGGAACACGCACAAATATAGGTTCAATTGTTTCAAATATAACATCACAGTACATGTGTTTCGCGTGCATGTTTTATTTCAATGCAGATGCTGGTTTAAAGATGTTGCTCTGATGGAGAAAAACATTTTGGAATGCATTTTCCTGCAGTCCAGTCATGCAATAGGTGTGCAATAGATTGTGGTTGTGTCACACCTACCATCTTTAAAAAGTTTGTTTGCCTCTTCTAAAACTTCTGTGAGCTTGTTGTTGGAGGGACTCAGCATGTCTTCCCTATTCTCTGGAGGGGGGACACAAGAACGAAATACATTAATGATATGCCAACAGAATCCTATCTATACTGCCTTGCCAGACCCTCTGTTTACTCACGTTGCACTGACTGGATGAGTTCTCTGTACTTGCTCCGTATTTCCCTCCGGATCCCCGGGTTATCGTCTTCGTCTTGCATGTCAGCTTGGCCGAGGTCACAACCACTGTTGTCCCCGTCACTTTGGTCAGATTTCCTCTGGCCTGCAGTGGCATTCTGCCGGGGAGCTTCCTCACCATGACCGCCTCTGGCACGTTTCATGATGTGTCACTTAGTGGAAGAGTTGTTCTAGTAAGGAGAAACACAAAACATGATCAATATGAACAAAGTAGGCTACCTCTCTGCTTGTAAATGTTATAACTAATAAATTACCTTGTGACGACAACAACCGTTACGACTATCTGATTTTGGATCTGGAAGTTTAGCCAAAGACGAGATAGAAACCAGCCACTCTAGCTACTTTACAAGATAGTACAATGAAAATGTTGCTAGTGTCATATTAAATATAAGTCGATCAACACAACATCATTAATATAGTGCAGTCGACTTACCAGTGTATTACTGTATACATACTAGAAGGAAACGAACCATAGCTAACGTTGGCTTCTGCATAAGGACAGACGTGTCTACTTAACTTTGTATTAAACACTAACTAAGCATTGCATTTGTGTTATATATCAATTAGAGTGTGGTTAACAAACATACAAAATATGCTGAAATGTGTTTCAAAACCCAAACTCTGATAGGCTATCATGCAAACCAGAAGCAAACTTCTCCCAGATCGGCGGTTAACACTAACACGGAAATTCTGAACGGTTTACCATCTTGATCTGAGGAAACGTTAGCCGATGTTAGCTAGTACAATCAGTTGTGTTAGCAACTAAGCTAAACGTCATACGTAATTTCCTATCTAAGGTCCCTCCAAAAGTAAACTCAGAGCGGATTATTGTTTAAAACATCAATACATCTGTTTACAATTAATTTAACATAGCTACCTGTTCGGCAGACTGAAGACGCGCCAGAATCATCACAAAAATGTTGACGTCAACAAAGTTAGGTTCTTCTTCTATTAGTTTAAGGCGGGCTACAAATCGAGGTTTAAGGTGAATACCGCCATCTAATGAAACGGAGTGTGTAGCACAGCATCTTGAGTATATTTTCTCACATACAAAATAAATAAAACTATATTCTGGATATTAAACCTGTATTTTAAAAATATATTACATGTTAGACGCTTTTATCCAAAGCGACTTTCATACTCAACACTGTGGGCAATACACACAGGAGCAATTTGGGGGTGAAGTGTCTCGCCCAGGGACACAACCAGATATAAACAGGGGTCCACGGGTATGACAAGCCCCCAGGAAGTGCGCCGGAGTCTGATGAGAATATTCGTGCTGGTCAAACGGCGGTACTACATTTCCTTTAGGTTGCTGGGCCCGGAAACACTTTTTCCCATTGACTTACATTGGGAAAGAGTGGTCTGTAACTCGTTGGATAATTTTTTTTAAACTAAATAAACTATCCAGTATGAACGTTTGTATAGCCCTTATTAAAAACATTCGTTCCTCAAGTTGTACAAATGTGCTAATAACGTTATTCTGAGAGTTATTTCCCTCTGCATTATGAACGCGCACGGGACCGCGCCGCCCGGCACGTTAATGGTACGTGTTCAGTACTACATGAGTTTCTCTTTACCCATGGATGCACAATAACAACGGACCCATATCGCCTTACTGCCAGCCCACGGAGCTGTAATAATGGATATATTGCACATGTTTGCTGTAATTCATCATTTGTAAAATATTATACTACATGGGCTGTATGATGTAAATCTTGTACCGTAAATGTTGTATTAAATAAAGTTAATATTACCGACGTAGATTAACGTTCCTGTAGCTTCTTATTGCACTTGCAATTGTTTTAGTTACTTGTGGGCTACTTAACATGAATAATCACAGTTACTATCCTTTTACTCCATCACATTTAAAAAAGAAATAGGCTATTGTTATTGTTATGCGCACTGCAGATCGGACAGAGCTGACAATGGTATGAAGGTTCTGTGCACAAGATGGCGTCTATCAACTTCCGGCGGCCGGGTGTGCGGCTGAGTACTTCCGGTTTGAGTACAGAGTTTTGACAGCTTGACAGTTTGTTATGTCACACCGCGAGCAAGAATTAGCGGATTTCGGGGTAAAGAAAAGTGATTGGCCTTCCAGCGTGTAAGAAAGTCGGCACTACATTGCTGTGTGCCCCTTTGTACAAATTCGTCCCGTTATCAGAATCAGAATACCTTTATTAGTCCCACAGAGGGGACATTTGCAGCGTTGAAGCAGGAAAGAGCCACAGACAGTGTTGAATATCTTACATTCGTTAAAAAGTACTAAGTTATAATATAATAATATTCTAAAAAAGTACTAAGTTATAATATAATAAACAATATGCTAAAAAAAAAGATAAAAAGTTACATAATTTTCAAAAATACAGATAAAAAACAAATCAAATCTACAAATCAAATCCTGTAGCAGTTCTTAGGATTTAGCAGCTCGGTATATATATATTACAGTTATTAAAGATGGCATATGTATATAAAGTATATATTGCACATAAAGCACATATTGCACATAGTTTGACGGTATTTAACAGCAGCAAGTTACACAATGTTATAATCGGGAGATAAGTTTCCATTCATTTCGGCAAGCCTGGGCAACAACGATTAAAAGATGTCTTGCTCCCAAACCAATTGTGTATTTCATTACAAAAAGCAGTTATACCATACTATGTTTAGGTACTAATGAATTATATCCTCAATACAAACGCACACATAAATAACAAAGGAAAATACATCATTTAATAAATCCACAATATGATAACATTTTACAGATTAATTTAATACACTTTTACAAAACATAGGTTGATGTTATATCGGGGGGGGGGAAATACATATTTAAACATTTCAATCAGTCTCTGCATATTTAAAGGTGGGGTAGGTAAGTTTCAGAAACCGGCTCGAGTGCACTAAAATTTGAAAGTACACAGCCGAAAAGAATCCGCCCCTTCCTTCAGACTTCCTTACAGAGCACCTCCTCCAACACAAAGTGGCCGCCTGTTGCTGGCAAGTCATTGAAGTACTGCTGCAATGCACGCCCAATGAGGGCACGAGATACATTTGTGCGTGCACGAGATGGAAGGCTGACAGACAGGGCGTTAATCCAATCCGTTTAGCCGGTCGTGCTTTTTACAGTATTACGGCTTCCACAGATGACATTTTTTTATGGATTTTTTGTCAAAGCACTTCAGATATTTATTGCTATCGGGATGTTAAGAGCATTCCATGGAATATAACAAAAAGTGTATCTCGAGCCGGTTTCTGAAACTTATCTACCCCACCTTTAAGTAATGCTAGTTTATATAACAGATGAACAGATGTACAATATCCAGAAAGTAGATGCAAAAAATATATGAAAGAGTGTTAGTCGTTGAGTTGAGTAGTGAGCCATTAGTTTTTTTTTCGTGGTGCGATGTCTGCTGAGAAGTCCTTGTATGCCTTGCTGACTTTGAGGACATCTGGGTCTGGCAGCTCCCCCTGCACGGCCTTGTAACGTGTACTCCTTTGAACATGTTTATATGATAATTAGGACTTTAAGAACAATGTTACACTCGGACAACAATCACAAAGTTGTAGCAGGCTACATACAATTACTTAGGACAATATATATTACCTTACACCGTCAGCAACTGTAAACTGCTTTGGCTTAGTGGAAATGAACACCATGTCACTCACTCTGCCTGGTTTCACACCCTATTAATTACACAAAAGAATTGTCAAATTAATTGAAAAGGTTGTTGATGCAACATACACTGAACAAAAATATAAATGCAACACTTTTGTTTTTGCTCCCATTTTTCATGAGATGAACTCAAAGATCTAAAACATTTTCTATATACACAAAATAACCATTTCTCTCAAATATTGTTCACAAATAGTGAGCACTTCTCCTTTACCGAGATAATCCATCCCACCTCACAGGTGTGGCATATCAAGATGCTGATTAGACAGCATGATTATTGCACAGGTGTGCCTTAGGCTGGCCACAATAAAAGGCCACTCTGAAACGTGCAGTTTTGCTTTATTGGGGGGGTCTGGGGGGTCCGAAAACCAGTCAGTATCTGGTGTGACCACCATTTGCCTCACACAGTGCAACACATCCAGAGCATCCCAAACATGCTCAATGGGTGACATGTCCGGTGAGTATGCTGGCCATGCAAGAACTGGGATGTTTTCAGCCTCCAGGAATTGTGTACAGATCCTTGCAACATGGGGCCGTGCATTATCATGCTGCAACATGAGGTGATGGTCGTGGATGAATGGCACAACAATGGGCCTCAGGATCTGATTCACAATGCCATCAATAAAATGCACCTGTGTTCGTCGTCCATAACATACGCCTGCTCATACCATAACCCCACCACCACGGGCCACTCGATTCACAACATTGACATCAGAAAACCGCTCACCCACACGACGCCACACACGCTGTCTGCCATCTGCCCTGAACAGTGAAAACCGGGATTCATCCGTGAAGAAAACACCTCTTCAACGTGCCGGACGCCATCGAATGTGAGCATTTGCCCACTCAAGTCGGTTACGACGACGAACCGGAGTCAGGTCGAGACCCCGATGAGGACGACGAGCATGCAGATGAGCTTCCCTGAGACGTTTCTGACAGTTTGTGCAGAAATTCTTTGGTTATGCAAACCGATTGTTGCATAGCTGTCCGAGTGGCTGGTCTCAGACGATCTTGGAGGTGAACATGCTGGATGTGGAGGTCCTGGGCTGGTGTGGTTACACGTGGTCTGCGGTTGTGAGGCCGGTTGGATGTACTGCCAAATTCTCTGGAACGCCTTTGGAGACGGCTTATGGTAGAGAAATGAACATTCAATTCACGGGCAACAGCTCTGGTGGACATTCCTGCTGTCAGCATGCCAATTGCACGCTCCCTCAAAACTTGGGACATCTGTGGCATTGTGCTGTGTGATAAAACTGAACATTTTAGAGTGGCCTTTTATTGTGGCCAGCATAAGGCACACCTGTGCAATAATCATGCTGTCTAATCAGCATCTTGATATGCCGCACCTGTGAGGTGGGATGGATTATCTCGGCAAAGGAGAAGTGCTCACTATCACAGATCTTTTCAGATTTGTGAACAATATTTGAGAGAAATGGTTATTTTTAGGGATGCACGATATTGGTTTTTTGAAACCGATACCGATAACTTCCTGCTTCTCAAGACCGATACCGATACCGATAACCGATAATAATATAATATATATATTAAATGTACCTGTAGTTTTTGCACACCTGGTGGTAAAAAAAAGACTAGTAGTGAGCAAATGACATGAGCATTACTACTATGAACAAAACAAAGCCAAGAACAGTTTTGACTCTTCAAAGTGACCATATTTATTTTCCCAAATAAAGTGCCTTTTTCAAAAGCCTCGTCGATAGGTAAAAGCCCCGGTGCCTTTGCAGCTGGCTTTGGATTCGCCGCTAGTTTAGCAGCGCAGGCGTCTTCGTACGCTTTTAACACACCATCGTAGCGATGGCGATGTTTCAGGTGACTAATCAGGTTGGAAGTATTATAGCTCGTTGCCTTTTTCCCTCCTCATGGAACTTCTGCATTGCATTTGTTAATACAAATAGCAAGCGAACTATCTAACTCTGAAACTTTGAAATAGTCCCGTGGATTGGTTGTGAACACATACTGTACTTACCATGGTTCTTGGCTTGTGCCATCGCTGCTCTGTTTCAGTGCAGCTGAGGACAGGGGGTACAGCAGCCAGGTTAAGTGTGGAGTAGTGTGCGGTCTGGAACAGCAGTGCAACATTGTGGTTGCAGAGTGCTGTTCCAGCTACACAGGAACACTTTGCCACTGCAATCTCCACAGGTGAACAGTTCTTAAAACAAAATGTCAGTCATTTTACATTTAGGACACTGCTTCAATACAACACAGACAAATGAGAAAGCTGAGAGCAGGCTGATCAGGCAAGTAATAGGTGTGGGAAAAGGCTAAACCATGTCAGGTTGTCAGTCACATCACATACACAGAAGTTCTGCTGTTTGGAATACTGTAATTTAAGGACATTCAAACAGATACACTTGTATAGCCTGTCTCAGCTCTCTCAATGTATTATCTTATATTATAACTACATAAAATAGTGTTAGTAGAACGTTGAACAGCTTAACATAGATGTAGGGTACAAAATCACTGATGTTAACCTTCGGTAGGTCTTGGAGACATCGAGTGTAAAATAGTGCCTATATAATATCTATACCATACGCTATCTATCGCTCTTCCCTCTACCGCTCTACTGTAGACCGGAAGTTTACAACCGCACACCCAGCCGCCGGAAGTTGATAGACGCCATCTTGTGCAACTAGCCCATAGAGCAGCGCCATATAGACTGATCGAGCAGGGGGACGGATCGGGTAGTGACCATGGATGAACGCTCACTCACTGCTAGCTATGTAGCTAACTGTTAGGCTACTTAGCTTGCATTGTTATGGATCTAAAGGTAGCACAAGCTAACTTTCATAGCACAGCTTTATACTTATACAGAACGTATAGCACAAACAACACAAATGAACAATACTTACATATATTTTCACTTGTAGTATTATCAGGGGCGGATCTACGGGGGGCAAGGGGGGCAGCTGCCCCCCCCCCCCCCCCCCCCACGGTAGAGCCTTGCCCTCCCAGCTGCCCCCCTAACTTTTGTTTCCCTAAAACTGTACTAAAACAAACCTACACTATTTCCACAAGCTTCTCAAGCAACAAAACAAGCATTACATTAGTTAAAAGTGAATCATTTTAAATATAATTTTAGGCCCGTTAAAAACGCAGCTACGGCCCTGCATTAAACTGCGGAGCGGCGTTCACACAGACCGCGGCTCACACCGCTGCAGAGAGGGAGCGAGCTGTCCCAGCACCTATGGATCAGCTTCCCCTGGGAGCATTTCCCTTTCCACTAGTTTTGTTTTTACTAAGGACGAGAGCTTGAAACTAAATATTAATAAAACGCTGCCGTTTGAATCGATAGCGTTTAACAGACGGGCGCTGTTTGGGGCGTTACGTTACAAAATACTACGCAGACAGCGTTAGCTGGGAGATCGATCACTTTGCTAAACTACGCGGTAGCCTACTATTACATCCACGTAAACTACACATCACAGCCATGAGGCCAGATCAATCGAACCAGGATACATCCTTTACTGTAAAAACTGGATCCAATCACAGCTGCCTGTGTGCGCTTGATCAATACTTTCTGATGTTATATGATATGCTACATATTAGCTAGGCTACATGGCCCTAACGTGTAAAGTTATACAAGCATTTGTACCAGTGCTTTTCACAAGTAGACTCTTGCAGGCCAGAGTATAGGAGTGATTCAACAACAACACAAAGACATATGAGAGAAGTGATCAGGACGAACAGAAAAAGGAAAAGGAAAAGAGAGTTCACTGAAGAGACCAGGAGGGTCAGAGCAGGAGGAAGAGGAGGAGATGAAGAAACCAGGAGGGTCAGAGCAGGAGGAGGAGATGAAGACATTAGTGAAGAAGAAGAAATGTATGTGAGGAATAAAGATGAAGTGTCAGAAAGAGGGACAGAGGCAGGGATCAGGAGGCAGATGAAACTCCAGCTGGACCACATGGTATGTTCTTATTCTCCTTACATATTCCATCACAGCAGCACAATCTAGCAGCTCTTAGTATTGACAAATATTGATTGAAATGTGTTGCTGCACAGGTGACCTTCAGCTCTCTGAAGAGATGGGTGATGTAATTTGTGTACTTAATTATAAGTTGAAATGTTGAGCTTGTCAATCTTAATCTGAAAATACAAAAACTGAAATATAGGTAAGAGAAGAAACGGACACTTTTATGATGTAATTCCCTCAATGCAGATCACACATGGACTGATCCATTATTTTAATAGGAGGGTAAATGGTATGGCGTGACGGGGTTGAAGCAAACTGAGGGACAATATTGCAATTTCATAGATAATTCAAGTATTTTTTCAGAATTTATTTTTGATCAGTTAAAGTTGACAAGCATATGATTATATTAGCAGCAACATTTGGGGATAATTGGCCATTTTGATTTGTTTGATATTAAATTAATATGTAATAATGCTTAGTGAGGACATGCATAATATGTCTGTCTAATACTAAGAAAACCAATTTTTTTTAAACTAAATATATATTTAGTTTGACATTGTAATGCAAAAAAACCTGTTCCATTAATTCATTGCTTTAAAATACATTTTGTGGTTTCCTTTCATTTAAAATGGCTGAGGTAAGCTTGGGGGACTCAAAGGGCACCCGATTGTTTGTCTGAACACCTTGTTTCTCTTGTGCATTAAGAACACTTGTGTTAGGGCATGCATTAACAATAAATAGGTTATATACAGTATAAAATACCACGTACTGTCCGCCCTCCCATGCCACCCTGGCATGACCTCTTGCCCCCCCTTTGCCCCCCCATGTAAAATGTTCTAGAACCGCCACTGAGTATTATAATAATTGAAATACTGGTTCTTCTGGGGGTCTTCTGTCCATGTTCAGCTAGCTACCGCACCGCAGCTGCCTGCCCTGTACAATCGCTGGAGGACTGGGCTGTCACTCAAAAACTGAGTAGCCAATGGGGACGCACCCCTGAAAGTCCCGCCCACCTGGGAGGTTTGTGTCAGAATCTCAAACAAAAAATTAGGGAGCGCAAAAGAGAAAGCTGCAGCGAGAGCAAAAGTCTGATCATTGAGAAAGAAGAAACAATAACTGCAAACAAAAACCTATGTTAAAACAAAGAAAAAATACTTATAGTTTACATGATTACACAAATGATTTGTTTGCAACTTATAGTTTTATTTTTGAAATTTATTTTATTTAGCTTGACTCAGTTTTTTTTTTCTTTTAAACTCATAGTTTTGCTTTATTCTGAAAAAGTGTTGCTTTATCTTTATGATACAAAACTAATCCCATAGCCTGGCTGCAGTGGGAGACTCCCCTGTGCACATTCTGGAGAACTGCGCAAAATCAGCTGATCACAACGTTCACACTGTGGTCAAGCTGCTGCAGTTTTATTTACAACAAAGTGGAGTAAAACACACAGTTGCAAACTTACTCAGGGTGTTAATGGAAGAGTTTGAAATCAGACAGAGGTGGAAGAAGTAGGCCTACTCAGATCTTGTACTTGAGTAAAAGTAGAGTACCATTACTTTGTTACAATAAAAGTCCTGGATTCAAAATGTTACTCAAGTAAAATTAGAAAGGTATTATCATCAAAATCTAGTTGAAGTACCAAAAGTAGTCATTGTGCAGATTGGTCCATTTCAGAATAATATATATGATATGTTTTGTAATGATTGATCATTAAAGTGTTCTCAAAGCAAAGGTGCAGCTAATTTTACAAATTAGATCAAAGTCAAGTAAAGTACAAATATCTCAAAATTGTACTTAAGTAGAGAACTTGAAGAAGTGTACTTCGTAAATTCCCACATCTGAAATCAGATATGACTTCAAGTCATGTGATAATTTATTAGTATTTGATCCTCCAACTTGGCCTCAGGAAATGCTAGGACTTCACAGTTTTGGCAACAAGTTTTGGAGAAAGCAAATCGGAGGGTTAAAAAGAGACAGGGAGGTGCATCTTCATCATCTAGCATGCAAGAAGTGTAAATAGAGGACAGTGAAGGAGACACTGAGGAGGACCACGCTTCGTGTGGGGTGAATACCAAACGCTGTCTCCTGGTACTCATCTGAGTAACTCACTCAAAAAGTTATATGTGCACCCCTGGATATAAACATAGATGACTCACCCGCGCTGCTGGCCAATGGAGACCGACGTTGCCACATAGCGGCCATCTTGCCACAGTCTATGTTCATAACATTATGTCTATGGTGCACTATTGAAATATCCATGGAGGTACTCTAATAATGATTGCAGGTCTGTTCAGAATACTATCTAATTTGTAATGTTTAACTTTCTTATTAATGTCCCATCCAAAAACCTTTGCTGAAAATGAAGTATACTCCCAACAGTTTTGTAAGACAGTTCAAGCTATGTTTTGATTACCTATTTCCTGAATTCTTATAGTTTAGAGATAACTTAACTCTCATTAATTCCAATATTAGATTCTACTCGTAATGTGTTAATGGGTGTGGTTTTGCTTGCTCCCAGTCTAAGTCTTATTTCTCTGTATTGCTTTTCAATGTGACTTTTTGCTGCTGATTCATATGCCATACAACCATAATCCAAGTAGATCTCATCAGAGTCCTGAATATGTAGTGAGGCTTCTCTATCAGTTCCCCATTGAAATCCAACTACACACCGCATTAAGTTTAATACCTTTTTACATTTAGTCTCTATATTTTCAATATGATTCTTCCATGTATATTTTTCATCCAACCACGAGCCCAGATATTTAGATACTTTTACTCTTTCCATAGGTGTACTGTAAAGCAAGTTCCTTTTCATTACCTATTTTATTTTTAGTGAGTAGCATATAGTTCAACTTTGTGACGGAAATCTTTAATCCCCAATTGAAAGACCATCTCTCTACATTTATGATTGCTTTCTATCTAAATATTTAGTATATTTACCCCTCTTTCAAATTGTTCCATCATCAGACATTACTGTATACCTGTTCCTGTATGTTCAAAGATGTCGTTTATCATGATAAAGTATAGGGCTGGTTACAATCCTTTGAGGTATTCCATTAAGAATTTCAAATGTTTTTTGATATTTCTGATCCTGCTTTTACTTTAAATGTTCTGTAAAATATAATAGTTTTGGTAACACTTTATATTAAGGTACACAAATTAACCATCAACTAGTTGTTAATTAACATGCATATTAGCAGTATATTGGCTCTTTATTAGTCATTATAAAACACTTATTAATGCCTTATTCTACATGACCATATTCTACAAGTAATAAGCCATTAGTTGAGAGTTTTTCCTCAATAACCCTCTAATTAGTGCTTATTTGTTGCAAGTAAGGAACTTATTGTACATGAGTTTTGGTCTTAATATGCGCTGCCCAATATGGGCCTAATAAGGCAGTAGTACCACAAGAATAGTAATTCTCCCATAATAACACTTAACAAATATAATCTATTCTTATGTAGCAAGACATGAAACTATAAGTGTTAATTAAGTCTAAACAACTCAAAATGAGGTATTTCTATCTAAGAACATGTTCCCTATTCTAAAGTGAAGTCTTGTTCATAACCAATAAGCTATTAGTTTGTCTCTAATTGACCTGAACAGGTTCCCTATTCTAAAGTTGCCTCCTCTTCACACTTTGTAAATACATTATAGCACACAACTACTGAAATTAACCTCAACAGTACATGAACAAAGTATGCACACGTTGAAATATCTGTTTTATTATTGAACCACTGAAGAGAGGTTCAGACACATACATGTACCAAAACATGTCAAGTTTCTCCAAGGCTGAGAACACACATGCAGCCTGTACTTTTTAATAAAAACTGATTTTTAACAGAGTTTATGTATTTGTGATCATACTGTGTGACCTGCTTGTATATTCTTACACAATAGGTGTACTGTTCTCTCTCTGTGTTGTCTCAGTGTGAACATAGATTAAACAGCCAGCCAAACTCTTTTGAGAGCCAGGGAATGAGCAGCCATGCTCCTTTATTGACTTATTTGCAGTCCACTGACATTCAAACGGAGTGAAACTATAAAAAAAGAAGTTACAAGGCACTTAATGATCTCATACATGCAAGTGTAACATACACAGATGAACACATTAGGACCGCTTAGTGTAAACAAGGTAAACATAGCTAATGCTAGCTGTACAATAAGCATGTATACAGGCTAGTATGGCTAACGCTAGCATGTATGCTAACGCTAGCGCGAATGCTAACGCATTTTCTCATTGAGTTTAAACATCTCCACATGTCATCACATAAACACAATACATGTTACTAATCCTTACAGTGTAAGTGTAAGGCTCACACTTACACTTACAGTCATTGCTTTCTGACGGACTTGACCCTTTTACTCTTCAGGTTGCATAGGGAAAATTAGTGGCAGTGTACTCATGGATGTCTACTGCCATTATATTCCGTTCACGTTCTCCTACTTCCTGTACCCGGGTCTAACCTTCAGTACACATTTTACAAAATTATAAATGTGCAAATATGAAATATACAGGTCAATATCTCCTTGCTATTGGTAGCTGAACTGTCAATACCCCAAAACATATTATAAGATATAAATACCTAATTTTGAGTTATTTAGACACAATTAACACTTATAGTTTCATGTCTTGTTCCATAAGAATAGATCATATTTGTTAAGTGTTATTATGGGAGAATTACTATTCTTGTGCTACTACTGCCTTATTACGCCCATATTAAGCAGCGCATATTAAGACCAAAACTCATGTACAACAACTTCCTTACTTGCAATAAATAAGCACTAATTAGAGGGTTATTGAGGAAAAACTCTCAACTAATGGCTTATTACTTGTAGAATATGGTCATGTAGAATACGGCATTAATAAGTGTTGTATAATGACTAATAGAGAGCCATTATACTGCTAATATGCATGCTAATTAACAACTAGTTGATGGTTAATTTGTGTACCTTAATATAAAGTGTTACCATAGTTTTTTGTTTTGTTCCAACTGATAATTTAATCTGTATACAATCATTTTTTGATTCTGCTGGAACTGCTACCCCCCGCGACCCGACCACGGATAAGCGGAAGAAGATGGATGGATGGATGGACAATCATTTTTTCCATCCATTTACACACAGGTGATGTCAGCGCTGTTGGTCTAGTTCTCTGCATTCTGAAAGTTTCCTGGTTTAGCAAATGGGAGAATTAATGCTGTCTTCCATTTATAAGGTAATCTACCTTCAAACTATATCTTATTAAAAAGGTTCAACACAATTTCCAAAGCTTATTTTGACAGATGTTTAAACACTGAGTATGAGTTGATCCTCCCTCGGGGCAGAAACCTTGCTTCAAGCCCTTTTCAGTTCTTTGAATTCCAAATCCATTGTTGATCTAATTTCTTCCGTTTATTCATATATTTTCATAATTTATTATAAATATTTCTTTCCTATGTTTGTGAATTTCATTGAGGTGGTTTCCACTGTGAACATTGGAAAATACATTTCCTAGAAGGTTAGCTTTGTCCCTATCCGTCATTGCTAAATTAATGTTGTCTGCAAGAACTGGTATCAAACAGGTATAGTCGTAGGTTTTTATCCATATTCCATACCTGGCCCACACCTCTCTCTCTACCTATTTCTGAACATGTTGTCTCCAGGTGTTCCTTACTGCTGTTTTGATTATTTTGCATGCTATGGCTCTCTTTCTTTAATATTCTATCAGATTTTCTAGATTCAGATTTTTCCTCAGGTTTCTGAGACCTCAATTTCATTCTTTTACAGTCACTCATTCCACCATGAACCACTTTCTTATTTCCTGTAATCATAGTTTTAGGTATACCTATGGAAGCATTATAATTTCTGTCACCTCAATTGTACATTCAGCTACATTACCATTTCATTCTAATGTTGCTAAAGAAACAGTACACCACTCTTTAAGTGTGTCCCATTGAGCCTTTTGAAAACAGCATCTATAGGGGTACTTTCTGGGATATTTTTGTCAGTCTATATTATAGAACAAATAATAGGAAAGTGATCACTACCAATATTATTTTTGTATATTTTCCATTAACTTGAACTTGTTATATTTGAAGGAACAATGTTAAATCAATCAAGGCATGACATCTTATTCTTATGAATTCCTATGTTCCTCTGCCATTATTTAAACAGACATGTTCCTTGAATCCATAATTTCTTCAATAACGGTTCTATTGTTATCAGTGTGATCACTTGTTATCAGTGTGATCACTACTGTGAACATTGAAGTCGCCACAACAAACTTCACATTTACTTTTTGAAATGTTGAGCTGCCTCAGTGTGTCACCTACAGCTGAGGTTTAGTAGTGCGCTTGTCTGGAGAGACGCAGCTAATCCCTGCTTGACCTCTCCAAGGGAAAGCCGAAAGCATGCACCTACAGGGGGGATAGCACGGGAGCAGAAACCACTGTTCGCACCTGAAACAATTATCCAGGTAATCTAACTATTATTTTATCATGGGGGAGCTGAGGACCACGTCTCCCGGGCTTCGTTTGGACCTGAGCAACTTTGACTCTGCAGAAGCGGAGCGGAGTCGCTACGTCTTAACGAGTCCACGCTCATTAGAGTCCTGCACGAGACTCGGTGTCAAACCTGTTGAACTTCTGATCAAATCGCTAAACGAGTTGGTAGCTGACCAGCATCACGTGCCCTATGAAGCCATGAGAGTCGTGCACGAATCCTACGAGAAGGAGAGAATGAAGCGTTTACAAATGTGTCGCGAGGAGAGGGAGAGGATTATCCGGGCGGCTGCTGGGGACAGGTGGCCGGGCAGTGACAAAGTGCCCGGCCCGGAAGTGGTGCCTGACTCCAAACTGAAGGATCACTCAAGGGACAGAGACACACTGAGCTGTATCGCGTATGCAGATCTGTGTGTTACAGGGAAATCTTCCAGCAGGTCCTCTTACAGAGAGCCAGACAGGAGCACAGTGTGCAGCGTCAGTCTGGGAGACCTCAGATACACTCCAGCCACTGAGATGAAGCTAGAGAGGCTCACCAGGGACATCAACAAGGAGATGTGTGTCACACTGTCAGAGAAGGATCGCAAAATAGCAGCTCTCATGTTGGTGAAGCACCAGGAGGAGCAGGCCTGCCTGAAGGTCTGTCAGCAGGAGGAGCAGGAGCGACAGGAGGCCCGCAGGCAGCAGGAGGCCCAACGCGCTGAGGCAGAGAAACAGAGGAGGAAGAAACTGAGACGGAGCATGCAGCGCTGGCACGATGATCTGGAGGGCCGCAGGAGACTAAGGGAGCGTAAGGAGAAGGAGAAAGCGGTACAACTGGAGCTGGAGGTGGTGCTGCACGAGGACCGCTGGAGGAGGCAGAAAGAGGAGGTGGAGGGACAACACAGGGAGAAAATAGAGGCTGCCCACAGAGAGGCAGAGGGGCGAAAACACTACCAGGAGAAGCTGCTGAGGGAAAGGGAGGAGGTGGAAAAAAGGGAGAGAGAGAGGGAGAGACATGTGGCAGAAGAGAAGAAGCAGAGGGCCAGGAGGAGCAAAGTGTCCCAGGAGAGGGAGGAGAGGAGGAGGCTGCAGGAGGGGAACCGCAGGGAGCTGCTTCGACACATCCTGCTGAAACAGAAGACGGAGCAGCAGGGGGTGGAAGAGGTGGAGCAGATGAGGAGCACGTTTGAGATGAAGATGAGATTATCTTGCGAGAAACATGCCCATGCTGTGGATGCTCGGGTGAGGGACGTGCAGGAGAGGGCAGTCCGGGAGGAGCTGCAGATTCAGAGAGTGCAGCTGAGGGCCAAGCTGCAGAGCTATCAGGAGCTCACACACAAACAGATCCTGGTTCAGCTGAGTCAGCGTCGCTTGGAGAGAGCCGGCCTGCACGCAGAGGCCCAGCAGAGGAGCAGGGCTGAGGAGGCGCAGCAGCACAACCAACACAGGCAGACCTCCCACCTTAGGCTGAGGGAGAGGAGGCAGAGGGAGGAGGAGGAGGAGAGGAAGGTCACAGAGAGCTGCATCTTCATGAAGGATGTGAGGAGGGAGAGGCTGAGGAGGCAGAGGGAGCAGATTCAGGAGGAGGCGCACAGGCTGGCCCGCGCCTCCTTTCACATGAGGGAGAGGGTGAGGCAGCACACACACAGCCGGACGTTTGATCAGATGGCCCGGGAGGCGCAGCTGACCGCCTCCATGAGCTGCATGAAGATATGAAAGACTCTCCACATCAACTGCCGCTCTCATAGGCTTTGATAGCCTACAGTTCAGGCATTAAATAACAGAATATATAGGAATGTAAAGAGAAACCCCTCCTGCAATCATACATGTGTATTGAGGATGAGCTAAACCCTTGTGAATGAGTTGGACCTGAGAGTGTTTGTGCTGCACAGGAGCTACAATGGATCATCATGTATCAGAGCTGTAGGGGTTTATTATTTTTACAGTTTAATTTGATGAAAATCCCTGAGATTGTGCCATATTTATAAATGTATACGTTTACGATGACATTTAAATATATTTAAAGTTTAGAATAATCTTTGGAGTTCTGTCTGACCTCGTAGTAACCCCCCCATCAGCATAATTAACAATAAAGTTGTGCTCTACTGAAGTGGTATCCATCCATCCATCTTCTCCCGCTTATCCGTGGTCGGGTCGCGGGGGTAGCAGTTCCAGCAGAGAGCCCCAAACTTTCTTTTCCCTGGCGACATCAACCAGCTCTGACTGGGGGATCCCAAGGCGCTCCCAGGCCAGCGAAGAGATATAATCCCTCCACCTGGTCCTAGGTCTACCCCTTGGTCTCTTCCCAGCTGGACGTGCCTGGAACACCTCCCTAGGGAGGCGCCCAGGTGGCATCCTAACTAGGTGCCCGAACCACCTCAACTGGCTCCTTTCGATGCGAAGGAGGAGCGGCTCAACTCTGAGTCCCTCCCTAATGACCGAACTTCTCAGTGGTATTATTTTGTATTTTGACCCTATGAAATAAAGCTTGTTGTAACCCCCCCATGTCAGGCTGCATATATCTATGAGATGTAAAAACTCAACCAGACTGGTTTTAGCTTTTCAAATATAACCAAATAATGTATAAAAGTCACAACTTGAGAAAAGTATGATACAATATTTGTTCTCTTTATGTTGTATCTTGTGAATCATTTTAGATCCCATTGCTTTAATGTATATCCAGCTTCTCTATAGGAACAAAAACATGCTCTGTGAGCCACAGCATGTCATTTTTTGCTTAGCTTATATACTGCACGTGATGGTTTATTGTTCCAACACCTCCTCAAATCAAGCAGTTTGTTTTGAGTGATCCAGCATGACAACATGTATTACCACCCTACAGTGTTTGTAGGGTGCGTTCACATGAAAGGGATGGTATTTGGAGCATTCGACCAATCACAAACATGGACAAGCGTACTGACATCGCAGCGCATCATACTTCCTGAATGAAAAGTCAACTATAATATTAGACAAATATGAAGACGTTCAACTTTAAACATCCATGACTTAAACACTTTGTCCAGGATCAAAGCCACATAGCTGCACCTGCAAGGTGAATACAGCTGGTAAAAGAAAAAGTGTTTGAATGCGTACATTAACAGGTTTATGATATCACTGCCACGTCTAAGACACGAGTGGATCTGACTTTAATTACATTTGACTCGAGTGTTTCGTCAACTTAATGTGTTGCTTAAAATAATACTTCTGCATACAGTATGTGCCACTGTAAGTGTTGCACGGCCAGATACGGCTCAAGAAGCTGACTCAGATCAGGACATATATGATACATTATGATGTGATATGAATGATAATGGGGCACATCGAAGTCTGCACTCACAGTGCCGCGGCGCGGACTGTACGTAATGTTACTTTGATCCGGTTACTTACGTTGTGGCAGATATTTAAAGGGGACCTATCATGCAAAATGCACTTTTGTACGTCTTTTATAGATGAATATATGTCCCCGGTGTGTCAGGGAACTCACCAAGTGTCAGAAAACACAACCCTCTCTTTTCCTCCATACCTAAATCTCTAAAAACGGGGCTGCAACGGAGCTGATTATTATTTGAATTTTTCTGACGTCAGAAAAGGGGTGCTCCGCCTACGCCTATATGGGCACTCATCTATGAGGGGAATGAGAGACCACTCGAAAGCGCTGGAGACGCTGTAGCAGTGGTGAGCCGTCAGGGCCCTCTAGGCCCTCTGTGAGGGCCTAAGATATTCTAAAAAATAATATTTGAAAACATTAAAAAAATATATATTATTATTACATTTTTTTTTGTTACATTTTTCATTAGTTTTACCAAAATAACTTGATTTAATTGTATTTAAAATAACATTTCCAAAGAAATAAATCCTTTGAATCGGCCTGTTCAGTTTCTGTTGGAATGTGAAGAGTTAAATGCCGTCTCTGCGAGTTAATGTGAAGACGGGAGAGCTTGTTGGTCCCTCTCTACATTGACAGAGGGCCCGCTATAGTAACTCAATGAGAGAGTAATGTCAAATGACAGTACAATTGACCAATCATATCTTCCCTCTAAATGGGTGGGCTTTATTTTCGCGGACTTTATGACAAGTTCCGCCCGCTGTGAAGTTTATACATGTGTATAAAGTGGTGCAGTGACGCGTCCTAAAACCCGGAACAAAGCTGCGCTCGGGTTCCCTCGACAAAAAAGCAATGGGATTTCTCCATAGGATTTTGGAAAATAGCTCGAAATAAGGTCTGTGGAACGAACCTGTTAGATAAATGCACGTTTTGTTCAGCCGGATAATATCCACATCATGTTTACCCTACTTTTATTATTTTTCGAATCATAAATCTAATCGATAGGCCGTCTAGGTCAGAGGGCCTAGGTATTGGCTCTGTGCACAAGATGGCGTCTATCAACTTCCGGCGGCTGGGTGTGCGGTTGTAAACTTCCGGTCTACAGTAGAGCGGTAGAGGGAAGAGCGATAGATAGAGTATAGATAGCGAGAGAGATAGCGTATAGATATTATATAGGCACTATTTTACACTCGATGTCTCCAAGACCTACCGAAGGTTAACATCAGTGATGTACATCGGCTGGTACAAGCGGCAGCCTCAGCCCCGAGGAGCAAAAGAGAAAAGGGGTTCAAGATGTAGCTACATATCCAGCTACGTCGACAATTATGAAGGTAAGTGACAAACAAAGCTGTAGTTACTGGCTAACTTTGACAAATTGACAGTCTTGATACAGTGTAAAGCGTTTTAATGATGTACTATTACGTTTTTTTGGATAACATGAATGATATCCAATTCCCCAGTTTCAAACAAAGATCTACCTTCAGGAAGAGTGAGCATCAGGAATGTTACATATGGAATGCCATTTAAGCCAATATTAAATAAATAAATATATACATAAATAATTAAATAAATAACTATATATATAAATATGCCTATGAAATAAATTATAAAATAAATAAATTAGGCAATAAATATGTATACATGTACATTTAAATACACATTTATTTATTTCATTGGACTTTTATTTCATAATGACACATTTATTTATTTCAAGAGACTTGTATTTCATAATGACACGTTTATTTATTTCAAGAGACTTGTATTTCATAATGACACATTTATTTATTTCAAGAGACTCGTATTTCATAATGACATATTTATTTATTTCAGATGACTTGTATTTCATAATGACGCGTTTCTTTATTTCAAGAGACTCGTATTTCATAATGGCTTATTTCATGTGACTTGTATTTCATGATGAGACATTTCCATTCCTTATATGCAAATGAACGGGGCGTGGTTAGCTCACAGGTCCAGAGACCCAGACCAAAGCAACAGCACCACACTGACTACTCGAGAAGAGGAAGAAAATGGAGGAGAAGGACTATAAGGCAAACTACTAAATGAAAATAACAACATGGAAGACGTCGGTGGGCTCCAAGACTTAACTGGTTCTTATCTGGTCTTATCTGGTCCGCCCAATGCTGCTCTTCTGAGAGCAACCGCTCTGACAGCTCTCTCTAGTCTCTACTGGGAAACAGCTAAAAGTCCTTCTGGAGGTAAGCAACGCTACACAATTACACCCAGTCTGAGAGTAAAATATGTCTCGAAGGTTCGTTTTGCTTTCTTACAACGTTAAGTTAATGTTAACGTAACCTTACGTTTGCTAGGAGGCTATCGTTACGAGCTAGCTGTCTTAGCTAACAACAGTTAGCAGCTAACGTTTTCTGCAGTTTGTGTTGCCCCTGAAAAACGTGATGTAGTTATTTAAGGGTATGTTCAATTAACGTTATTTTACAAGTTGAGAGAGTTAAGTTGTGTTTAAAATCGTCAATGTAATGCACGTTAGAGGTTTTGTGTTGGACATGAAGTTAGCTAACGTTAGCTAACTCCACCAGGTTAGCATGTTAAGCTGTACTTTTTGTGGCAGCTAGCTTAATACAAAGAGGGGTTTTGTGCTTCATTGCACACTTTTCTTTGTTAATCTACCTGAAACTGTAGGGACAGTTTGTTTCTACTCAACTATACAGACCATTGTTGAGGAGATGCAAAACATACTGTACATGAGTTGGGTCCAACATATACCTTGAGTAATGTTACTTTGCTGCTAAAAATGAAACATCATTATCAGATGAGGACATCACCAAAGTGTGTGAGCCTGTCAGGGGATTTGATCTGTTCTCTGCATGTCCTAAACACTGCTCTGGTATTACTTATTTTGTAACATGTAAGTCTCCCGCTCTTGTCATCTTTCAGGCTTTGCATTTGAACTCCTATGACAGGTTGCGGACTTGAAGGGAACGCCTTCCTGACATCCAGGAAAAAGGTGAGATTATAATACATTTGAATGCCAAAAGCAAGTTATTGTTTTTAACTTTTGAAATATGATTGTTTTGGGGCATTTCAGTTTTATTGGACAGGCAGTAGAGATCTACTGGAAACAGTGGAGAGGGAGGAGATGATATGCAGCATACGGCCCAGCCGGATGGTTGCTGCTCCATGTGGAACGTGTCCTATCAGGTAAAGCACTTTGCTACCCAGTTATTTATGGTGTTGAGTTTGAATTTAGCTTTTGGAATGTAATTTCCAACTGTGCATTGTAAAGACTGAAAAAACAGCCTCAAGTTAAAGCTTGACATGATTTGGTCTTTTACTTAAGAAGATGTTTGTCCTCCTGTGTTATCTTATTTCCTTATCTTTCTTTCAGGTGTAACATCTACCAATGGTTGTA